TTTTGAAGAAAAATGACTTTGCTTATACACCAGAGGACTGTTCATGAAGGCCGCAGAGATTTTGCATGTGACGAGTGCGAAAAGAAATTTGGACTAAATCAGCATTTGCTCAGACATAAAGAAACAGTTCACGAAGGTCGTAAAGACTATGCTTGCAAAAAGTGCAACAAGAAATTTGGACAAAAACATCATTTGCTTTTCCACCAAAGGACTGTTCATGAAGGCGGCAAAGATTTTGCATGCAACAAATGCGAGCAGAAATTTGGTTCCAAATCAAATTTGCTTATGCACCAAAAAACCGTTCATGAGGGTCGTAAAGACTACGCTTGCAAACAGTGCCAAAAAAAATTTGGACAAAAGGGTAATTTGCTTTTTCACCAAAGGACAGTGCATAAAGGTCACAAAAATTTTGTTTGTGACAAGTGAGAGAAATCATTTCTACGAAAGTGGCATTTGATAAAATACCAAATAAGCAAAAAAGGTGACGCAGGACACAATAACGAATAAAACAAATCTGGCCCCCATCGAATTATAATAGGCGCTTAAAACGTAGATAAGTTAATTCACAGACTCGATCCATCGAAAAGGGGTTTTAATCGTTTCATTATTAATCAATCAAAAAGCTTGATCCAAGACAATCGGAGCGAAGACTCCATCATGTGAAATGATAATAATTTATTTATTTAGGTATAAATAGTTTCTTACTTATAGAAATGACCTTTACTTATATTAGACTTATGCTCAGAATTAATCAAAATTGCATGTATAAATCAGAGAAACATGCATTGCACACGCTTTGCATGAACTTTATGAAAGACACAATAAAGAAACTATATATAAAAATAAAAGAAATTAACATTAGTCAATTCATTGAGATTTATTTCTAACTAAAAATTTTAAACAGCAATGTTATTTAACCTAAATTAACTCACTTCTCGTGCGTGATCGTGAGATATTACATTTATACACGTATATGGGGAATTCTATAAAAAGTACGCGAAATTTTTTGGTAGAAATCGTAAGGCATTAGTCGTAGCCGAAAGACCGAAAAAAGAAATTTGAAAAGTTTTTAAATAAGTCACCGGTAACATACTTTTGTTCAAAATTAAGTGCATTTCAAAATGCTATTTTATTTCAAAAGATTTACACCAATTTTCAACTGCTTTACATACCATAATTTAAGCCTTCGCCGCAAGATGGCGAGTAGCTTCGCATCTGTAAATATGCAAGTGGGAAAGTCAAAATGACTGTACAAGCCCCAACATGGTTTTTAACAAATTACGTTGTCAGTTGTTCTGTTGGGAAATAAATAGTAATTTTACTCATATTTAATATAGCTAAAAAATTGGTATTGAATTAAAAGAAAAAACGTTGAATTTTTGTTAGTTGAAGCAAAGTTACATTTCTAATTATTGTGTATCCAGTTTCTACTAGTGTCAATAATCCTTTTATATCCAAAACTCGATTTTAAATGTTGAGCGTTTCTATCAGGTATTGAAAATGAAAGTTTCGTCTGAAAATTTTTTACTTGACGGGAGTGCCGATCGTATGCTATTTGCCGACTACGAATACAGTGACTGTTTTAGGAAATAGGCCGAAACACGGGGGAAAATAATTCTAACCTGGTTTAAAGGTATAACAACAATAGATAAACAGATAAAATTGTAATTTGATTGTAAACAATATGATTATAAACAATCTTAATTTCGCCCCTTAAACACTGAACATATTTCTAGCCGAACAAATTAGTACGAGTGTAGTCTTTAACGACGTTACAAGATATAATACATACAGTGAATTGACTTATTTTATTTTCATAGCTCTGAATATAAAAATTTAGGCTTTCAAATGGATGAAAGTAAAGAAAAACTCGAGAAAGATAATCGACAAGAGGAATTTACACTGGAATTAAGCGTGATGGAAGACGAAAAGATGATACACGAAGATCTCGATGATTTTGTTTGTGACCAGTGTGAAATGAAGTTTCAGTTCCGAAGTCATTTGAGTAGACACCAAATATTAGTACACAAAGTTCGCAACGAATTTGCATGCGACCAGTGTGAGAAAAAATTTGTGAAAAAATCGAGTTTAATTACGCACCAAAAATTAGTACACAAGGATCGCCAAGATTTCTCATGTAACAAATGCGAGAGGAAATTTGAAAATAAATCAATTTTACTCAAGCACAAAAGAATATTTCACGAAGTTTTCAAAGATTACTTGTGTGAAATGTGCGCAAAGAGATTTGCAAATAAACGGAATTTATTGCTGCATATCGCAACAGTCCACGAGGGACGCAAGGATTTCACATACAAGTGCGATAAAAAGTTTGTAAAAAAATCGAGTTTATATACGCACCAAAAATTACTACAAAAGGAACCTAAAGATTTCAATTGCAACAAGTGCAAGAGAAAATTTGCACGAAAGTCAAATTTTCTAACCCACATAAAGTTAGTACACGAAGTTCGCAGAGATTTTGGGTGCAATAAATGCGAGAAGAAATTTGGAACAAAATCAAATTTTCTCATACACCAGAGGATTGTACATGAAGGCCGCAAAGATTTTGTATGCGACAAGTGTGAAAAGAAATTTGGATCAAAACAGCAATTGCTCAGACACAAAGAAACAGTTCACGAAGGTCGTAAAGACTATGCTTGCAAAGAGTGCAACAAGAAATTTGGAAGAAAATGGCGTTTGCTTCAACATGTAAGGACAATACATGAAGGTCGAAAAGATTTCACATGTGATAGGTGTGAAAAGAAATTTGGACAAAAATTTAATTTGCTTGTTCACCAAAAATCAGTACACAAGGGTCGTTAAGATTTCGCATGCGACAAAGGCGAAAGGAAATATGGATATAAATTAGATTTATTATAGCGCCAAAGGACAATAAACGAGGTCGGTAAGATTACGCATATCGAAAATGCAAGAAGGTATTTGAAAAAAAAAATTAAATTTATTAAGGTGAATAAAATATTCCACGAAGTTTTCAAAGATTACGCATGCGACAAGTGTGAAAAAATATTACTACGAACATCGCATTCGTTAAGGCTCACGAATCAGCCACAAAGGTTACGTGAAATACGATAACGAAAAAAACAATTTTTGGCCCCTATCGAATTGTAATAGACGCCAAAAAGTAGATGATAGACTCAACCGATCGAACATGTGTTTTAATGGTTTCATTTTAAAGTTTAACCGATTTTTTATCAATAAAAAAACTTGAGCTATGACAAACGGAGCGGATGATCCAATCAATAACATTGGAGAAATATAATATCATGTGAAATGATAATAATTAGTTTTTTTCGGCATAAATAGTTTCTTATTTATAGGAATAAATTAACTTATGTTAGAATGATGCTCTGAATTATTTCTCAGTTTTTTCCCAATTACATGTACTTCACTAATAACACAATTAAAAGCCGTTCGAGGCATCATGTAATTTCATATACTATATAAATAAAATAATAAACATAGCCGGTGGTTAATAATTCTGCTCATAACCCAGCAGATTCATATAATGACTTATCTATTTATTATGGAATGAATTTTTAACTTTTTCCAAGTAATGATAAAGGAAGTCGCTGAAAAAATCTTCTTAATACAATATTATCAAATAAAAATGAAATTAAACTTGAGACGACCTAAACTCATGTGTCATTGCATATAAATATTCAACTTCTAATATCTTTCATGTAATTATTAAATCTTGTAAAAGTATCATTATAAAATAAAGGAGTTTCGTTATTGATGTAATTTTTGAACAAGCACGTGAGATTTTCTTGTTTCAACTAAAATAGTAGAATCATTGATAATTTTGCACAATCAAGCGATTTTTTTGTTATTGACAAGAGCCGTTACAATAAACTTGATATAATTGTGAGTCCAATTATTTTGTATTGAATGCCATTCAATTACTTACGATTTTGCCAAGATTAAATGTAAATGTTTTCAACTATTCAAGAAAACGTGCATTTTCATTATTTAAACTGTAACCACGATAAAAAATTTATCAAGAGTGATTGAATAATTTAATATCTTATAATTCACAAAACGTGTCGGTAGCACTTCAAAACAATTTTATGAAAGTTTTCATTGTCTCAACGAAGTGTATAAAATAATTTAGCGCGATGACTTTTTTAATGTAAAATATAAAAACGTAAAAAAAAAAAATTCGATTTCACTCCGAGCGATCCGACGATCGATCGACGAGTCGAATTCCGAACCTTTTCATTTTTATTTAACGCGCGTAGCGAATCTTGATGTAATGCATCTCGATTTCCTCCTTCCGTGGAAGCTGCCAGCGTATTTATACACCAATTATGTATCGGATAACTATTACATCTTTCGATTATATATACGTACACACACGCGTATACGTGCAAAAGCTCATGCGGCCGCTCGAGCTAAACTCTCGGGACGAGAGGCGAAGAAATTTTTCATAAACACCGCTATCTTGATCGTTTTCTCTAGCGTATGCTATACATGTGCTGTATGCGTATTTGTGAGTGTGTGTGTGCGCATCTACGCGGTATACACATGCCAGTGAACCTAGGCCTAGTGCGCATACACACGTCAAAAAGGAAAGAAAATGAAAAGCGAGACTGCGGCGATCCGGTTCGCGATTTCCTTAAAATGTGACACAGTTAGGCAAATGCACGCGCCGAGACTCGACGATTCTTGACCTTAAAGCATTGATATGTATACACGCAGTCGTGACTCGAGTCTCAAATACATATATATGGCGTGTGTATGGTTATTTTCGGTATTTGTCAAAAGCATCAAGGATGCGAGGCCCATTTTTACGTCGAAGCTTCGAATCCTTTGAACAATGTAACAAACGACACAACAATTACGCGCCCACGATGACGCAAGCTCAAGTCGGGCGAGCCTTTATTGCGTCTTTTTCTTCGCTCTCTCTCTCGCGCGAAGTTCAGTTAATGTTCCGTGAAATTATGTTTGAAACAAAATAAAAATCAACTGTATGTTTGTTTTTTCAAATTTTTTTTTTATTCTGCAAACATGACACTAAAATATACATAAAAAAATGAGAGATAAGAAATTTTTCCAAATGCGATGTGTCACCGCCGATTGCAGCAACAGCAGCGAGTTACAGGCACACGCTACATTTATATATATGTGCGCAATCAATGCATGTTACTAAAAGTTTAGTGGACGGGTATTTTTCATTCTTCTTCTTCTTCTTCTATCCTCTACGCTAAAAAAAAAGTACAACTACGAGACCGAAAAAAAAGTGTTGATTTTAAAAATTTCGGGGCAGTACACAATGATAATAATCATAATAATAACGATACGACCGAACTGCTAATTTTTTCGCAGTAAAATAGCGTATACGATAATAATGGGTAAGATCTTGTTCACATGGTCGCGCGGTAGACGCCGAGCGCGCCGAGAACGGCGAGCATTCCCGTGGCGAGGCTCGCGCTCTCCGCCGAGTTGCACAGCTCCTTGTTGCAGCGGTCGCAGGAGACGAGATTCGGCACGTCGTGGCAGGGCACTTGGCTCGTGACGCACGTCCGCAAGACCGTCGTTACACCCATGGACGCTGTAACGAATGAAGATGGGCGTGTGTGAGTGGGAGAGCAATATAAATGCAATTAATGAATCGGACAAAGAGATGGAGAGAGAGAGAGAGAGAGAGAGAGAGAGAGAGAGAGAGAGAGAGAGAGAGAGAGAGAGAGATAGTGAAATTAAAATTATGAAGGCTAATTTAAACTCACTTGCGACGATTTTGGCGCACTCCCACCTGTCGTCGACGGAATCTGCTTGAGTGCCGTGAAACATAATTAATTTCAATTAGTACGATCGATACAAGATAATCGAGTGTTATTCGGTGCGAATAAACGTTAAACGATTAAACGGATTAGTGATCGTTTTTCTCGTCGCTAATTACCCAGAGCCCTCATCGAGCTATCGGAGAAGATGGCCCTGGCCGAGGTGCTGTTGAGGTAGGCGTTCGAGGCCGATCGCAGCGAGCTCGGATTGCAGTCGGTGATGAATTTGTCCTGGGCCGGGTTCGTGTAGCATTCGCCGGTGTTGACCGACGAGCAGGTGTAACATCTCAAACTGTTCACTGCGATAAAGATCAAAATAAATAATAAAAATAAAAAAGTGTACATTCGTTAAAAACAAGAACAGAACAAATGTACTAATTACGACGATCGCGCAATTAGAGATATGGAGCAGATAACAAAAACAAAAATGATAGTCAACCTGAATTGACGAACAATACGGCAATTAGGGCGAGCGAGTAGGTAGCGGTGCACTTTTTCGGATACATTTTGACTGGACGATGTCGAACGAGCGACTGATGAAGATGCAACGAAACTCCCTCGCGGTTCTCGGCTGCGGCGGCGGTGACTCGGCCCCGAGACAATTGGACGAGGCAGTAAGGCAACAGCAGTATACGCAGCTCGAGATAAAATATACTTACGAGCCTCTCGTCTGTGTGTACATATGTGCACACGTATGACTGACTCGGCCTATGCCGCATATGCGACGTCGTCGTCGTCGTCGTCGCATTGCTGCGTTCGTTAAAAGGTACACGCACGTCTTTAACGCGCTGCGTCGCCGTTGCGCACGTATACGCACACACACACACATACTTATGCACAAACAACAAGCACTAAAGATATGAAAAACATCTTCGCCACTGTCGCGAAAATAATAGAGAGGATTACTCATTGTAGAAGTTTGCTCGAGGGAGAGAGAGAAAGAAAAGAGGAGAACGTTTATTTGCTCGGATTGCGTTGAAAGGCTATTTTTGGATCGCTGATAATACCGCGTTGCACCCATGGATTTCCTTCTTTTTTTTCTCTCTCTCAAAATTTGCCGTGTGCGACATTGCGTCCAAACGTGCGATGCGTCGTATATACATTTCTCTATATAATCTTCGACGTGAAAAAAAAAAAATCGTTGGCACTCGAACGTCAGCAGCTGTAACAACAGCAGCAGCAGGAGGAGAGCTGCCTCGCGCGCGGTAACGAAGCATAATGAGAGACAGAAAAAAAAGCTTTAATTTGTGAGAATCGGACGCAATGCAGGCGCGGTGACTCGAAGGTGACATACCGCATTGTCCGTGCGTGGAACTAAAACATGTTACACATATACATGAACGTCAAGGAATAAACGCGTATATATATTTTATTTGCGCATTGCCTCCGACGATGCGAAAGAGATGTCCTCGTCGAGCTTTGTTTATACTTGTATACTGCGTATGTATACAACATAAAGCAGGCATAAATATAAACGACGCAACGCGGAATGGAAATGGTAAAAATACAAAATGTGTTAACGTTGGAATATATACGTTGGTATAGGTATATACGCATGTCGCGAAGAGCGCTAACTCGGCCTATATATTTTCCTCCTCGTAACCTAGTTATCATCCTAAATGCATACGTGTGTATACATGTGAATCGATGTGCAGCAGATATTAATCGGGCGTATACCACTACAACTACTACTACTAGTGCCGCCGTGGATTCCAGAGCCAGTTTGTCCACTTCGAAACTTCCGGTTTTGTGCGGCTCAGCCGGCCGACCGATGCAAAAATGTGCGTCTGTATATATACGCGCGTACGCCGCGGGATAGGGATCGGTATATATATATATGCGATCGTGTGCATACAGGTATACACGTGTGTGAGGCTCGCGTTTTCTTAATTATTATTGTTTTGCGCGACGCGCGATTCACGTAACTGTACTGTATCGTGCGCTTGACTCGCTGACTTCGATAGTGAAAATCGTATACGCTTATATCCATCTAATGACGTATATTTCTATAAGGACTTTCCTCTTTGACGGATTATCAAAAAAAAAAAATAATGATCGAGGATTATAAATATGATAGAGCTGTAGGCTTCGAGATTATTGAATGTCGTTCGCTTATATATACCATCGATCCGCGCGCAGGCTATAATGCTATATACATCGTGTGTGCACATCAAGCTCCGATACGTGACGCGCTTTTTCGAGAAAAGGTTTGCACAATATCTTATCGACTCATGCGTATGTGTTATACGCGTCGCAGTACATTATATTCTCTTTGTTCGAATGGAGACCTGACACGAGAAAATTTTGTTCATATGAACAAAAACGCAGATCTATGCTTCAAGCCCTACATATATTTCTCTCGTACTTACCGTTAGCATATTATAATCGTCACCCGCGACGTGAAACGAGCACGAAAAACTTGAACAATGTCGGAAGATCGTGTCCCGACGCTGCGACGTCGAGCGACGATTCATTCTCACAAAATTTTGACTGATGCGTTTTAACGATAATGCATAACGATAATGCAGTCCCCGTCCCCATGCAGAAGGAAAAGAAAACCGTAAATGCGCATAATTCAGCGAACAATCGCACGTCCGACGCCTACTCACAGCTACTACTACTACTATACAATGTGCACCAGTTTTTTTTCTTCGTCTTATCCTTTTTTTTTCGGTACATATCCGGTCGCGAAAAAAAGCGGACGCATGCAGATCTCGAGCGAGGATAAATCGGCGAAAAATCGCGCGCGGCCCACTACCAGCTGCTGCATGGTATCGGTAACGATCATCTAAAAACTCCCACGAGCGTGTATTAAGATTAAAGTAGTTTTCAAACGTTGACCTTTTTTTCGTAGGGCTCCTTCGAATGTGTGTCAATACGGCCATTTGAATCCATTTCGCGCGTACGAAGTATACGCGCGCGCGCGGGGAGACTTTGATGCTCGCGTCGTATATATACAAGTGCGCCGAGCTGTAATAAAATCTTGCGCGCGGGCTCATATCGCTCGAGCGCGCGTCGTAAAAATGACCACGCAGGCACGCGTGGCGCTTATACGCGATATGAATTATTACGAGCTTAATTTTCATTCATCATAGTTTTTCCTTTTTTTTTCGTAAGCGAAGGATGTCTTGACGTGTAAAAATAACGGGTAATCTCGCGAATCCTGCTCAACTTTACAATGTTTATATCGGTGAAACGTCGTCCTCTTCTTTCTTTTTTTTTTTGTTTTTTTTTCAATCTCAAACTCGATTTATAATACGCTTGGATGTATGTAATCGATGTAGACACTTATCGAAACGTTGTAATTATATATCATGTGTATCTTGTGTGTGTAGCCGCGCGTGAGTTGTCAACGCAAAAAAGCGCCGCGACGAGTCCATTTCGTTTTGCGATATCCTGCGCGCCGCGGAACAGTCGCTACTGTAATCATCCGTTCAATCAGTGTCACTTTATTACTCACCGCTCGTGCGCGTTTACGTATGATATTTTATTAATACACGTATATGGGGAATTCTATAAAAAGTACGAGAAATTTTTTGGTAAAAATGTCACGACATTAGACGTATCCGAAGGATAAAAAAAAATACAATAAATCACCGGACTTTTGTTTAAAATTAAGTATATTTTAAAATGTTTTCAACCGCTTTAAACAATAATTTAAGACTTCACCGTTAGATGGCAAGTAGTTTCGTATCTGTAAATCTGCAAGTGGGAAAGTCAAAATGACTGTATAAATCACAGCATGGTTTTGATGGAAATTAGATGAATTGTCCTTGAATGATTTATTGTCCTTGAATGATTTATTGTCCTTGAATAAAAAAAAAAATGCGAAACATTTTTCAGTTTTAAAAAAAGTTACATTTCTGATTATAATGTATCCAGTCTCTATCGGTGATAATGGTCCTTTTATATAAAAAATTTAAATGTTGAGAGTTTCTACCAGGTATTAAAGATTAAAATCTCGACTAACATGTTTGTTACTTGATGGATGTCCCGATCGTATGGTATTTATCGAACTATAAATTTAGGAACTATTTTAGGAATGATGCCGAAACATGAGGGAAGATAATTTTGACCTGGTTTGAAGTTATAACGACAATAGATAAACAGATAAAATTGTAACTTAATTGTAAACAATATGATTACAAACAATATTAATTACGCCCCTTGAACACTGAACACATTTCTAGCAGAACAAATTGGTACAAGTGTTGTCTTTAACGATGGTAGAAGAAATAATACCAAGAGAAAACTTCACTTATTTAATTTTCGTAGCTCTGAATATTAGAATTTAGGCATTTAAGTGGATGAAAGTAAAGAAAAATTTGGGAAAGATAATCAACAAAAGGTATTTGCACTGGAATTAAGCGTGATGGAAGACGAAAAGATGATACACGAAGATCTCGAAGATTTTGTTTGTGACCAGTGCGAAATGAAGTTTGGGTTCCGAAGTCATTTGAGTAGACACCAAATATTAGTACACAAAGTTCGCAACGATTTCGCATGCAACCAGTGTGAGAAGAAATTTGTGAAAAAAACAAGTTTATTTACGCACCAAAAATTAGTACATAAAGATCGCTATGATTTCACATGTAACAAGTGCGAGAGGAAATTTGAAAATAAATCAATTTTACTCAAGCACAAAAAAATATTTCACGAAGTTTTCAAAGATTACTTATGTGAATTATGCGCAAAGAGATTTGCAAATAAACGGACTTTGTTGGTGCATATCACAATAGTCCACGAAAGTCGCAAGGATTTCCTATACGACAAGTGTGATCAAAAATTTGTAAAAAAATCTAGTTTATATATGCACCAAAAATTACTGCAAAAAGATCCTGAAGATTTCAAGTGCAACAAGTGCAAGAGAAAATTTGAAAATAAATCAACTTTACTTGAGCACAAAAATATCTTCCACAAAGGTAGCAACAATTTTATATGTGAAAAGTGTGAGAAAAAATTCAAACAAAAATGGTCGTTGTTAAGACATCAAAAGATAGTACACGAAGGTCGCAAAGATTACAGATGTGACAATTGTGAGCAAGCCTTTGCAGATAAATGGCAATTGATAAAACACCAAAGAACAGTTCATGAGGGTCGAAAGGATTATAAATGCGATAAGTGTGGGAAGAAGTATAAACAAAAATCCCATTTGCTCACCCATTTAAAGACAATACACGATGGTCGTAAGGATTACAGATGTGATAATTGCGAGAAAAAATTTGGAAGAAAAGAGAATTTGCTCACACACCAGAGGACCGTACACGAAGGCCGCAAAGATTTTGCATGTGACAAGTGTGAAAAGAAATTTGGACTCAAACAGCAATTGCTCAAACACAAAGAGACAATTCACGAAAGTCGTAAAGTATACGCTTGCCAACAGTGCGAAAAGAAATACGGACGAAAATGGCAGTTGCTTCACCACAAAAGGACAATACATGAAGGTCTTAAAAATATTGCTTGTGACAGTTGCGAGAAGAAATTTACAGAAAAAAGGAGCTTGCTTATACACACAAAGACTATCCATGAAGGTCGTAAAGATTTCGCATGTGACAGGTGCGAAAAGAAATTTGGACAAAAATCGCATTTACTCGGCCATCAAAAGTCAGTACACGAGGGTCGCAAAGATTTCGCATGCGGGAAGTGTGAGAAGATATATGGACAGA